AAAGGGATGCCTGTTCAATCTAGTGTGCAAACTGTACGGTGAGATTTGAACTTTCAATCTTTCAACTTAATTTTCAGTCAAGGATCTGCAAGTTAACAAATCTTATCTTCTCTCAGGGAAAGCAAAATAAAATGCCATAAATACCAGTAGAACTCTTAAAATTATGAGCATAATTACTAATCATAATGCATTATTTTTAGCAGGAAACTAAATGAAAAATACCATTCGTAGGAAAACAACTGATTCAACCTCAGATACAAATGCAAAAATTAGGACTATACTGAACAAACATGGAGCAATTTTTTATCACCCTAGCCCAGTCCCAGTGAGGGTAAAACAGTAACTTCCATAGCTTTAACAACCCCTACAGCAACAAAGTTCTAGAAGATGGCACCTTGATAGCCAAGTACTGTGCTAGAGAAAACTAGTTTGTACCTCGCTATTCGCAAACTATCACTTGGGAAAAGAGAGATGGGATCATCCTATATGACCTATTTAATCTAAAATAAAATAAAAAATGGTAACCAAAAATAATAAAGACAAGATTAAAATAAATGAAATTCCACATTACGCTACAAAAACAAGATTGCCATCGAAAGGTGTTCAAATCTATGCAGACGATTAATGCATGCAAATTGATATTGTTGTCAAAGTATTAAAGTTCATTATATGCACCTCAGGTAGGATATCCACTTTTCTCTGAGCTGAAATTTCAAAGGCATATATTTTCATGATTGCTGTGAGAAGAACAGACTCACTTCAGTTTCAACAAGTAAGATACAAATATACACACAAATACAAATGGTGCATTTTTTTTATGAATAGATAACCAAATATAAAAATGAGAGAAGAAAATTTTAAACCTATGAAATACTCATAAAATACGAAATTTATGGTTGTTTACTTCTTAAGCAAATGGAAAATAAAAATTGTGTGCCCTGCGCTCTCTTCTTTATTCTTTCCAAAAGCTCTCATGTTTCTATAACTACACAGGGACCCTGCTTATTCTAATCAAAGTAAATCGCATGTTCAAAGACTTTATTCATGGTCTGCAGAGAAGGAATATCAGGCATGGATGACATCGGGCGTTTAATAAGCAATAACAAAATACTCCCATGATAACTAGAATATAAAAGGCAACATGTATTACTCTTACCTGGATAAACCGTTGATTACTTGGTGCAAATTGCACTGAAAGCTCCACACATCTGGAAGCTATATATGTTTTGTAATGGTTATCATTACTTGGTTCAAATGTTCAAATTTAAGAAGCATGGAAAATTTCTTCAAATCAAACCCTAAAAAATTACAAATGCAGATAATGAACATCTAGCTACAAAAAACTGAGTTTGAGGGATACCTTGACGGATTCATCATTTGAATACGCCTCTGCCACACCACATAACTTCCCAGTGATATAGGAAGCAGAATATTTTCCATCAGCAGTTCCATATTCCCCCAAAACCCAACAAATGACCTGAGATCACAACTAAAATTCAGATATCAACAGGAATATTCTTCCAAAATTTTCTACATAAAGAAAAGAACTGAGAGGACAGGATGTACCTGAAGAAATACAGATGGAAGCTTTGGCTCACCAATTATACGCAAATATGACTCCACCTGCACATAAAGAAGTTTAGTTCTTTAACATGCAGAAACAGGGAAAGCAAGGAAATGGTTTAAGACATAGTGCAGAAGCAAGCAATGCACAAAATGTTGTAAACATACTACTAGAATATAATCCTCAAATGTTACACAAATGGCAGTACTATAAAAAGGTGAATGCAGCATTATATCTCCTATGCTGAATTTATCAGGGAATGTTGAACTCAATGGCAAAAAGAATGAAAAGCCTAAGCAATTTTGCGACATCAAAATGATTTTCATCACAAACAACAAACATAGCAGTAATAAGAAATGCTTCTATTTGCAATGAGGTAACCCAAAACCCTAGGAAAAATCCACCTCTGAGGTCTCAAACGTTATATGCATGAAATGGCTTGAGAGTAACTTACAAATTTTACAACTAACTAGAACAAGTGACACCTGTAAGTTATGTGTCAAATTCTTTGACGTGGCAACTCCTCCTCCTAACATGATATGTCCATGATTTTACCATCAATTGTTGACGGTCTAAATTAATGGAAGGGACTATTTGAGGAGTCCAAAAAGAGATATTGATCAAAAATTCAACAGGAACTTTTGAAATCGCACAAAAATTTAGGGGGCATGCTATAACATTTTTAACCAAATAATAACTGAAATAGCAACTTTTTAATGACATTGAATAAAACAGTTATAAACATAAGGTGCAAAATTAAAGTTACATACCGCAGATGATCTCAACTGACTATCTGCAGAATCATCATCCTCTCCAAATCCCTCAGCAATCAACTTCATCAAGTTATGTGCCACCTTGACATTTACCAAATCTCCCGCATGTTCAAACACTTTATTCATGGTCTGCAGAGAAGGAATATCAGGCATGGATGACATCGGGTGTTTAATAAGCAATAACAAAATACTCCCATGATAACTAGAATATAAAAGGCAACATGTATTACTCTTACCTGGATAAACCATTGATTACTTGGTGCAAATTGCTCCAAAAGCTCCACACATCTAGAAGCTATATATGTTTTGTAATGGTTATCATTAATGCTAATCATGTAATCAATCATACGATCCACAATCACTTCCACATTGGAGGACTTGGTCATCTTGTACAATAGTTCAAATGTTTTTCGCTTCAGAGTATCATCTGGGTCCTGCATCATGCACATCAAACTTCATCTAAATTAAAAGTTTAAAGCATGATTTGAAACCAATCCATCAAACCCAACAGAATTCTTTCACCTCTAAGCAATCAATGACGGCTAGTTGGTGTTGCTCTGCTATCTCTGGACTAATCTTTATCAGTCGACCAAGGGCATCGATGCCCATATATTTCAAATTATGACTGTCACTCTGTCGACCAAATATACAACAAGGAATTGGTGTTTAACTCTCCAAATAATCTACATGCAGACTATAATTTGCAGAAAAATACACTGAAAAATACAAAAACTTCAAACCTTCAAAAATCTTGAGATGACTTGAGCAGCCTGCTCTAACAACTTAGGATTTGGATATATGGCAGAAACGCAACAAATACACTCATAAAGGACAGCATTTCCTATATTACTGGTAGAATCGCACTTCCTAAAAATATCGCCGACTACCATATACATCTTCTCACTCGATTGCTTATCACCACTCCCCAACAATGCCAAGATCTTCAACAATCTAATCTGCAGTATCAAACTAATTCAGTTACTACATTACGTTACAAAAAAACAAACAAAGCTCATTATTTCAATTCCTCTATCATGCCAAAAACTTCCCACATTAATAATAAGCTCAACTTCGTTGAAAGTAAGTAAAACCTGAATAAAGGGCGCCGGCAACTGATGGTAATCGTAGGTCTTGGGCAACCTGCGCTCGGCGACCTGTTTGAGAATGCTGACAAAGCTGACCACCAGATCCTTATAAGAATTCACATCAATTGTAATGAGGTCAAACAACGGGCAGAGCGTGGCACCCATGACTCCCGGATCGTTATCACAAAGGCGCTTCCTGAAATTGGAGACCAGATGCGAAACAGAAGATGGTGATTTCTGATAAAAGCGGTGAAGCGCCATGATGGCCTTCTTCCTGACAGCCTCCTTGGGATGGGCGAGGAGGTCCACGACCTGGGGCAAAACGGCAGGCACAGTCTCGTCGTTGATGAGCTTGCATACGGCATTGAGGGCGGCACAAACGACAAGGTAATTGTCAGACTTGAGATCCTTCTGGATGGTGTTTACGATCAAGATGATCAAATCGTGATCGTCGCTGAGGAAGAGCGAAACGGCGAGGTAACCGGTGCGTTTAAGCAAGAGATTGTCGTCGTGGGTCATCTTGACGGCGTGGATGTAGGCGAAGGAGCCATCGTGGCCGAGCATTTCGACGTAGACGAGGCGGATGATGTACTCCTTCATCTTGCGCTTGGGGATTTCAGGCTCGGAGAGACGTCGTTTTAGGGTTTCGATCTCGAGGAGGACGATGCGCTCTTCTTCGGCCTTGGATCGAGCTTCGCCGATGGACTTGACGAGGTCCAGGAACTCCTTGGATTGGCCGAAGCCGCCTTGAGAACCCATCGCAAGCTCTCGCCCTATGGTCTTCAGCTGCTCCATTGCTGCTGATGATTGGTGGAGTTAGGATTTTGCAGTTGCCAATGCGATGGAGATTAGGGTCTTGAATTTGGGGCATTAATTGGTGAGTAATTGGACTGAGTTCAATTGCATGAAGCAGCAGCAGAAGAGAGAAGAGGAGAGAGAGAAGAAGAAGAAGGGGCTCTTAGTTTTGGGTTTTCCCTTCTGTCGTTGCGTGCTGTGGATAGATCTAATTCTGAAGAGATTGTCATGACTCGCGCGTGTTTTGAACAGTTACTGTGGATGGGTGGTGGAAAGTAAAAGGACAGAGGATAGAGGTGAAAACAAGAATTAAACAGTGAATAAAGGTATCTATGTAATTTTATTTTTGGACGGTATCCATGTAATTGATACTACAAAAAAAAATCACTTTCCATTACACATAAAAGTATATGAAGATTGCTAACGAGGATCGGTTGAGTTGGTAACTACCGTTCTCTTTGCTAGTAAGGGCTTGGTTCGAATCCCGTTGTCCCTCCCCATAAACTTGTATTTACCCAAAAATACAAGTATATTAAGATTTATATAACGAGTATCAAGGATGACTTCTTTCATCATTATAATGTCATCCTAGCAAGTAAGGTCGTGAAACTCTCTGTGGCTTGATCTTGGTAGATCAAGTTCAACACATTGGTTCAATATATGTATGTTTTTGTTACAAAATGATATGCTATTACGTTTTTTGAATTATTCACAACCCCCCTCAAAGAAATGTTTATGTCTAATTTTTTTAGTATTCATTGTAGATGAATTAATTATTTCGACTATATAATTTTATTTTTGTTCTTCTTTAATCCTCTAGGAAATTGTTATTAACTTATTATTATCTTTAGTTGCTTTTTTTTTAATTGATTAATTACTTATTATCTTAATGTAACTTTATTTGTGCTCTTATTTAATCTCCAATTTTACTGCTATTTTTTATAAATATTTTAGTACTTATTGTCCTTCAAAAATTAATCTGGTCTACATAATTAATTATTTTTCAATTATTAAATAATATAATAACATGTACAATGTCTAGTGGGGGAAATAGACGTAATCATCTTTGAGAACATAGTAAATCATTATAAATAAAAGATTTATGATGTGTTTAATTCTCTTTTTTATCAATTAGTACACATTTTCTAGGTCACATTGTTTCCTTATTTTTAACCCATTGATATTTCCGAACCATCGACATTTAAGACCGTACTTAGAACTGAGCTTGAACCTCTATGTCCCTCCGTTTATTTGTAATTTAGTTTTGTTGCATTCCTTTGAAGTTCATTAGGTACAAGACATGATAACAAATCTTTCTAGTTTCTCTTCTACTTCGCACCCATGACCTGAAAATCTCACTACCACAACCTTGCAGCCTTTCATCCTTCTTCTTCTTCCTTATCCCATATCCGTGTTTTTCCCTTCTTATTTCCTTTTTCCTCACTGAACAACATCAAATCTTTTTGTATTTGGTGGTCCAAAATTTATCAGAACATTTTGTATATCGTGGTGGTCCTCAATTTATCAAAACTTTCTGAATGGGGTCCGCAATTTATCGACACCTTTTGTGTTTGGTGGTCCGCAATTTATGCTGGACGTCATCACTTTTGGTTTCCGGCTCAACAAAATACTGTAACGAAGCAGCCCAAGGCGAAGGCCGAAAAGCTACAAAGGCAAAGCCTGATGCCTGATCCATGAATTTGGATTAACAACATAAGGCCCACATTCCAAATCCACACAATCCTTGGTCTGAAAGAATGTCCAAACCTAAACGCATTTATGGCATGTTTACTAATTCGTAATTAGATTATGAGGAATTGAATTGAGGATAAATTAAATTGAGGAGGAGTTGGATTGAAGAGAATTAGATTCTGAATTCATATTGAAGTTGTTTACTAAATCATATGGAATTGGGGTAGGAGTGGTCCTAATTACTAAAATGTCCTCGTTGTTTGGTTAAAGTAAATAACAAATTTTAAAATTTTAAAATTGTGTGAGGATATAATGGGTAAAAAAAATGAATTCCTAACGGGTTAGTTTTCCAGGAATTAGAATACCACCTTCCATTTAAGAATTTAATTCCTCCAAAATCAAGAATTCAATTTCTAATTTTGTGTGAGCCCCACTTACTTTTTAATTCCTTAATGTGAAGTAAATACAGAAATCCTCCATAGCTGAAATTTAATTCCTGATTAGTAAACACACAATTAAAATCGTAGCTGTATTCTAGTACCATATAATAATTTCTCCAACATAGTTAAGCACAATCGTCAAGCTCAAAACACAACACAACGATGCATCACTTTAGCCTTCAATCCCTGAATTGCAACCAGATACTTTCCCTGAATTGTAATTTGTAATATGCTTTAAATGTTTTCCTAAAAAGACTATTCGATCCCCTAAAACAAAAATGCCCATATTTCTTTCTTTCCTTTGAATAGTGGGAAATAATAGGAAAATTATCTCCCTAATAAATGGATAGAGTTGCTACAGATGTATTTGTAATATGCTATAGAGTTGCATTTTCATCTTTATCTATGTTCATGACGTAGAGTGAGAAACGGCTTGAATGTCATCAAAACTGCGATTGCCTCCACCACATTCAAGATGAAGAAAATCATCTGGCTACCTGCAAAACGATATGGAAGTGGTAAACTTTCTAAGCCTTACATTACAAGCTGTAAGTAAATTTGGCAATGTAATTACCAATTTGGTATGAAGGGTCAATTATTTAGAGGAAAGCTAGACTCCTGAAAGACGAGGAATTCCTCCTCAAATGAACACGTGGCTAAATGGAAATGGACACTTGTCCAAACAAAGAAAAATAATGCACAATTAGGCCACACGTTCATTTCAGGAGGAGTTGCTCCTCTTCTTTCAGGAGCCAAGCATAATTCTATTATTATCGGTTTCGTTTGAGATACAAGGTACAATAAGAAATACCAAACAAATATTGAAGCAAATTGAAAAGGAACTAAATGAAGTCCAACGCATCCACATGCATAATCAATGAATGAAACATATAATTTTTGGAAGAAAAAAAATGTAGAAATAAAGAATTTGAAAACAAATAATAATGAAAATTTGAACTCTTTCTTTCCCCTCTTCCATTAACTTTATTATTTTCTTCTTCGGTCAGTTTATGACCTAGAAATGGTAAATACTGATGCTACCACTCTTCATCTTGTGCATTATATCAGTTTCAGAAAACATGTACTTAGCCTATCATCATCTAAAAACCATCTTCCCTTTTCGTTTCATTTCGATCTAAAATATAAATATATAGAATTATGACCTAACTAAATTGTAAGTGTTTGGTTTCTCCTAATTTATTACTCTTTTTGAGCCACCAAGTTATAATGGTACAAATTTATAAAACTGTAACAAATTCCTAAGTGAGCAAAACTTTGTAACAAAAATCCGGGGTGAAAAGTTGGTTGAGTATGATACCAGGTAGGATGGCAGCATCCAGACGCGTTTGCGCCCAAGAAAACCTGTTGAGCCGAAATCATGATTCACATAAGATTTTTTTTAAAATGTATTACTACAAGATCATGTAATTTAAATCTGATATGATTTTCAAAGCATAAATCAATGTAAGAAAGTAATGCTGTAAGCTTGTGTTATCTGATTTATTCAAAATTCATCTGTAGTAATCTCGAAACTATATGAAACGCAAAATCTGTAGTGTTTTTTGTGTAATAATTCAGAAACAAGAAACATCATATATATATATATATAACAAAATCACTTCAGCTCCCAGTTGGAATAAGCTAAACTTACAGTGCACCACCACCAGCTGGACCGATTGCCTTGAACAGAGACATTGCCGTCATAGAAATTCCATTCGCGGCACCTCTTTGTCTTTGGTCCTGTTGTTAAATCATGGTCAAGTTATGGCACAATCTCTAGTTGAAGAGCAATAATATCATGACTTAGAGAAGGGGAAAAATTTTAAGTAGTTAATCTGAGAATAAAATTACCACAGCTTTGTTTTGGAGAATGAACATTCCAGTTACAATTGTGATCTGATTGTACAAAAAAAACTTCAAAAGTTAGAGCACAAACCATAGAAAGACAGCCTTTATCTATATGAAGCCTTTCTAACACATAAAAAAAAGAAGTCCTAGATTCTCAAAAAAGCTATTGTTAAGCATATACTGTCAAATGCAGCTGCAGAGCAACTATAGAGGCTTCCATCCATAGAGAAACTCTTGTAAGCTACTTCAATTGCTCAATGTTGAAGCACCTTACAATGGACAAAACCTGAGATGCTTAAGTATCTAGTAACAAAACATAAAAAGTAAACGAAAACAAGATTCTTGAGCACCCTACTACACACACAAGTAAGCAGGCTGCATGAAAATCGTTTTTGCTTATGTGGTTGTTCAGCTTTGTAGACCCATAGTTGGCCATTGTCATTGACTTTCAAATAACGTGGTTTCTTAGAAGCGATCTTTGAATCATCCATGCCTATGTCTACTTAAAGCAAATTGTAGAAATAATTCAGTCAATTGTCAAGATGAGAACATGGTCACCACTAGCAATATAATCAGGACAATTCATATCGGTCCCTTATTTTACTAAATCGGTGAGCTTCTGTAGAGTAGATATAGTTATTTTTACTTTCTTCAGTTAAGATGACAAAGTTGTAGTTTGGTGTTGTTTTTAATGAGATTCTGTATCAAGATGATGGTAGACTAGTAGTTCACCAAGTCTTTGTAACGCAAGGATGCATGCAAGTGTGTAAGTTGAAATGAGATATAAAGTCATGTCTGCACTTACAGATAAGACATTCTTCAGCACAGATGCAATATTTAACATCAGGTAGAGGGAGAACCCCGATAACATTGCTATAAACGGGTAACTTGACAGCAGAGGTATTGTGATAATCTGCATATGGGAATCATGTGCCAAAAGAAGACCACAAAGGTAAAGAACAGTATAGGTCAGTCGGGATTACGTCGAAAGACATTTATCACGGAAAAAAAAATGCAGAAGCTACAACAATGCAAAGCGAGCAGGAGCTGAAAAATTACCCCTCCAATGCGAGCAATCATTACAGGACCAAGAAGCCTTTCCACAAATGGGTATAGGGTGATTTGGAACACAAAAAGACCAAAACCTACAAGTTGATAAAATCGTCAGCGATTATTGAGCATGTGTAGAGTTATTTACTTGAATCAGAAATTGAAACTGTATCAAATGATCTATCCTTGAGTGAACTT